AGCTTGGGGTTCCCCCCCCCACCTCTCTCTCCCTCTCTCCCTCTCTCCCTCTCTCCCTCTCTCCCTCTCTCTCTTCTAGCGCTGTGGCGTCATAAACGGTCAGCGATACCGACAGCACGCAGGAACTCAACATGACATCACAGTACGGAGGTACTCACTCACCTGTCTATGAAGAAACAACAGCTCTGTGTCTGTGCGCGTGAGTACTGTGTGGCGTCTCATGCTGCCGCAGATGAGGTCATTCTCCTGTGTTGCAGAAAGTGTTGATTGGTCAAAAGTTAATTAAAAAGCAAGAGAAAACAAAAGATGGCAACAAACGAAAGTAACAACACATCAATTAAAATACGTCTTTTTTAACGTCAGGGTGTATTTATTTTTCTATCCCCTCCCCACCCATACATACACACAAATAAAAAATATACATTTTATAGGTACAAGCGTTGACTGAGAGTAGATACATCAGCAGAGACATACGTATATTTCAAACACACAAATAAACACACAAACATACACACTCATACCTCACTTATACACGTACATACACCTACACACAAACACACACATACATACACACACACACACACACACATACACACACACACAACAATGGTAGCAAAAACTCACCCCAAACAGAGAACAGACAGACAGAACAATGGTAGCGAAGACTCACTCCACACACAACAATGGTAGCGAAGACTCACCCCACACACAACAATGGTAGCGAAGACTCACTCCACACACAACAATGGTAGCGAAGACTCACCCCACACACAACAATGGTAGCGAAGACTCACCCCACACACAACAATGGTAGCGAAGACTCACCCCACACACAACAATGGTAGCGAAGACTCACCCCACACACAACAATGGTAGCGAAGACTCACTCCACACACAACAATGGTAGCGAAGACTCACTCCACACACAACAATGGTAGCGAAGACTCACTCCACACACAACAATGGTAGCGAAGACTCACTCCACACACAACAATGGTAGCGAAGACTCACCCCAAACAGAGAACGAACAGACAAAGTGGGTGGTTGGCGGATGCTCTGGCGTGGTTTGCTCCCTCTTTCTTATCAAACATCTATCGTCCTTATCTCTCCTCCTTCTTTTTTGTGAGAGTACTCTTGTAACACATCTATTCTTCGGCACTTATATGACCTTATTGTGTTGCAAGTGCCGTAAAATGCTTACTAAAACAAAAGACACACAGAACAGTGGTAGAAAAGACTCACCCCAAACAAAGAGCCTGTGCGGATCTCCTTCGGCTGTCGCCCAAGGTCATGTTTCTCGATCACTGAAACAAAATGGAAAGGGTAAAACGTAGAAAAAATAGAATACGTTAAAAATGTTAAAACTCATAACCGTAAGGTCGTGGGTTCGAATCCCGTCAGGGACCCGACTTTGTGTCCTTGGGAAAGGCACTTTACACGAATTTTCCTCACTTCACCCAGGTGGGAATGGGTACCCGGCTATAGACAGCGAAAGATCTTGTCAGTTTGTTAGTGTTTGAGCGCTTAATCAGCTGCTTGCACTGTATGCTTCGCGGGAAGCTGAGAATGTTTCGGAGTGTTCTGTGGTCTGCTGGGGTAATAATATAGTGTAAAGCGCATAGAGCCTGCTGTTGAGAGGGGATATGCGCCATATCCATAGAAATTTTTTTTCTTCTCCAATTTGAATGCAGATTTTAAGTCTCATAACTATGCTAGTTATCAGTGTGAAATTTGGTAACATTTGATCCACTAATAAGCTTGCCAACTTTTTCAAAACCCTGTCAAGGACACCCTACCTTAAGCATCAGAATATATGTCAACTAAAAAAATTGCATCAAGTGGGACTGGTTTTAGTGTAGCATATGTAATAAGGCTCTTAAATTCCCCAATTGCCAAATCTGGGATATTTCCGTGAAAATTCAGGACAGTTGACAAGCCTGCATAAATATGAAGGATTACTTTCCAAAGCATATCGGGAATCTTTTTCAAAGTGAGAAAAATGTATAACCAACTTCCTCTTTCACTTTGACACAGTTTTAGATGTTTTATGAATATTTTGAGTGTGTACCCCATTACGTGTTTCTTGTGATCTGGAAATAATTACGCCAAAA